TCAACCCAAACATCCAACCCCAATTCCAGAAGGTTCCTGGTGGAATTCCAAAATTTGGTGTCCCTCAAACCGAATTCCAACTGGTTCCAACCCAACCCCAACTGGTTCCAACCCAATCCAAGATGCACCCAACCCAATCCCAGATGGATCCAACCTAATCCAAGATGGACCCAACCCACTTCCAGATGGATCCACCCCAAATCTCCGCCGATTCCACTAAATCCCAAATTTTCTCCGGGACTCCCCAGAGCCGCCGGAGGTGGCCGTGTTCCCCAAGCAGCCGGTGGAGCAGGACGAGCCCAACATCCTGATCTGCTCGGTCACCAAGTTCTGGCCGCCGGCGCTGGAGCTGCGCTGGCTGCGCAACGGGGCGCCGGTGACGCGCGGCGTCCTGGAGACGCCATTTTACCCCGACCGCGACTTCACCTTCCGCAAGTTCTCCTACCTGCCCTTCGTGCCCGCGCCCGGCGACTACTACGACTGCCAGGTGGAGCACGAGGGGTTGGCCAAGCCCGCCAAGATGCATTGGGGTGAGATGCGGGGGTTTTGGGAAAAAAAAAAATATGAAATTTTGGGGAAAAAATGGGGTTTTTGTGGAAAAAATTGGATTTTTAGTGAAAAAAAATGGGATTTTTGGGGTTTGGGAAAATGGGGATTTGGGATTTGCTGGGTGGAGCACGAGGGGTTGGCCAAGCCCGCCAAGATGCATTGGGGTGAGATTCGGGGGTTTTGGGAAAAAAAAAATCATAAATTTTGGGGAAAAAATGGAGTTTTTGGGGAAAAAATTGGATTTTTAGTGAAAAAAATGGGATTTTTGGTGGGTGAAAAGGGATTTTTGGGGTTTGGGAAAATGGGGATTTGGGGTTATTAGGAGAGGTAAGTGGAGCATGAGGGGATTTGGGATTTTGGGGAAAAATTTGGGGATTTTGGGGAAAAAAAAGGGGTTTTTGGGGAAAAATTGGGTTTTTGGGGAAAAAAACCAGATTTTTGGGATTTGGAGCAATCGGGATTTGGGGTTATTAGGATTGCAAGGTGGAGCACGAGGGGTTGGCCAAGCCTGGAAAGATGCATTGGGGTGAGATGCGGGGGTTTTGGGAAAAAAAAAATCATAAATTTTGGGGACAAAATGGGGGAAAAAATGGGGTTTTTGGGGAAAAAATGGGATTTTTGGGGTCTGGGAAAATGGGGATTTGGGGTTATTAGGAGTGGTAAGTGGAGCATGAGGGGATTTGGGATTTTGGGGGAAAAAATTTGGGGATTTTTGGGGGAAAAATGGGATTTTGGGAAAAAATTGGGTTTTTGGGGAAAAAAATGGAGTTTTTGGGAAAAAATGGGGTTTTGGGGAGAAAAAAATTGGGATTTTTGGGGTTTGGGAAAATGGGGATTTGGGATTTGCTGGGTGGAGCACGAGGGGCTGGCCAAGCCTGGAAAGATGCATTGGGGTGAGATTCGGGGATTTTGGGAAAAAAAAAATCATGAAATTTTGGGGAAAAAATGGGGGAAAAAATGGGGTTTTTGGGGAAAAAATGGGGTTTTTGGGGGAAAAAAATGGGGTTTTTGGTGGGTGAAAAGGGATTTTTGGGGTTTGGGAAAATGGGGATTTGGGGTTATTAGGATGGCAAGCCCGCCAAGATACATTGGGGTGAGATTTGGGGGATTTTGGGGAAAAAATCCCAAATTTTGGGAAAAAAAAATGAGGTTTTTGGGGAAAAAATTGGATTTTTGGCGAAAAAAAATATGGGATTTTTGTTGGGTAAAAAGGGATTTTTGGGGTCTTGGAAATTGGGGATTTGGAGTTATCAGGAGTGCCAGGTGGAGCACGAGGTGATTTGGGATTTTTGGGGAAAAAAATTGGGGATTTTGGGGAAAAAGTGGGATTTTTGGGAATAAATGGGATTTTGGGGAGAAAAAATTTGGATTTTTGGGGTTTTGGGAAAATTGGGAATTAGGATTTGCAAGGTGCAGCATGAAGGGATGGGCAAGCCTGGAAAGATGCATTGGGGTGAGATTCGGGGGTTTTGGGAAAAAAATGAACAAAATTTGGGGTTTTTGGGAAAAAAATTTGGGGATTGTTGGGATTTGGGGTGGAAATTCCAGGATATGTGATTTTGGGGATTTGGGAATAGGGGAAAATGGGAATTTGGGACAGGAAAAAATTTGAGAAGAGGAAAAATTTGGGAATTTGCAAGAGCTTTGAACGGGAATGATGATGAGGAAGGATTCGGGAGGAGGAAGAGATTTGGGATCCCCCCGAAATTTTGGGAATTTGGGATTTTTTTTCCCACCAGAACCCCAAATCCTGGTGCCGCCGTCGGAGGCGACGGAGACGGCGATCTGCGCCCTGGGGCTGGCCGTGGGCATCGTGGGCATCGCCGCGGGCACCGTCCTCATCATCCGCGGGATGAAGCTCGGCCGCGCCCGCGCCGAGCGCG